GCCTAAGCTCCATGAACTCTGACACTTTCCTATCTCGAATACACCGTGGGAAGTACTAGTCATAGAAAATCTCCAAAAATTTCACCCAGTCAACATCTTTGTGATTCTCACGCATCAACATCCACCATCTTCTTGCCTCGTCTTCTAGCATAAAGGTGGCTAGAAGCACTTTCTGTGTCTCCAAACACGGGAACACTTCAAATAGTTCCTCGATGTCGAGGACCCACGCTTCAGCTTTCAATGGATCCAATCCCCCGTGGAATTGTGGTGGTTTCATTTTCTTAAATTCTTTGGTGAGAGCTATTATCCGGTCATCATTCTGATTATCTAGCACAGGTGGTGCCGGAGGTGGAGGTGGAGGATGTGGCTGCTGCCACTATTGTTGCCACTCTTGTTGTTGCCTCAATGTTTCTGCCATTTCTTGAATCAACCTTTCCATTCTATCTATTCTGGCAGTAGAGGACTCTTCTATCTCATCACATCTGGTTCTTACCATCTGATTAAACTTACATTATACTTTACACAAAAGATTCACAAGTATGCATATATTAAAGAGCATACATATTCAAATAATTTGCAATGCAAGCAAATCACAAACTTATGGCACATAATTGTTCATATCAAAACACTTAAGCATATTCTCGATGCTTTCAAATTCATACTTATCACATTAATGCATCCTAGATCTTTTCTAGATGCTTATTGCTCTTTTGGACAAGTGTGTGAGTTATTAACTCGTGCTCTGAAACCACTCTGTCATGACCCGAACCCGCCCCTATGGGTTAAGGACATAACCAGACAGTAATCGCAGGATTACCTATGGCCTCAAACCACTTCAGACTTAACTCATCAAAGTAAAGGGGCCAAACGGAAGCAAAATTTAAAACTTTTTCCATAAAGCTGTGCTTACATGGCACTTCATAACAAACCATACATACACATATTAATAACTCACATCAAAATATGTACTAATGCAAAGCTCTGTACATACAGGATCTATCAAGTCGAGGTCAGCCAATCAAAACTATATACAGATGTAAACCAAAGTCCTCGCCAATATGACAAAACAATATAAAATAACAAAAGAGCGAAGACGTGTCTCGTGCGTGAGACGCAAGGGCTGACTCTTTGAAATCTTAGTTATTCCATACAGACTTCACTGAGGCTGGGTCTGGACCTCTCTTGGCTCACCTACAAACACATGAATGAGCGTGAGCGAAAGCACAGCGAATAATATCAAATATAGAAGATACATTGGAACAATATACATCAGACGGCCTTGGGCTGTAACAACCCCTATCCATAATTAGCCACTAATCCGTATTTAATGATGTTAATGAGATGATTAAAATAACTTATGTGTTTATTCTGCACTTTGTATATTTTGGCTTTCTATCTGTTACTTATAGAAATATTTGTTTGGAATTTCACTTTAATTTGTAAATTTAAAGCCTTATCGGCATCCGAAATCGAAATTGATTACGTCAATATGATATTTGGAATTTTTGGAACCATATGGAAAATTTTATTAAAAATTGATTCAGACTGATTTATTAAGGCGTGTTTGGTTAACCTTATATTCTAATTAATGTGTTTTAGCACCATAAGCTTATATGTAACTGTAGACACCCCATTTTTGACTGTCCTCAAGACTTGGACGTCACTGCTCAAACACTCGGTGATTACTCATGTTTGTGTTTCGTTTTGAGTTCCCGGAGGTCTCGGCTACACGCCTTGCCTCAGGATCTCTCAACTCGACTGTTCTGTGTTTGGTTTTGCACCAAACACTTGTGTTTTTTGCTTCTGAAGGTAGAAAGTAGCTTATTAGCTATCCCTGACACCCACCGGCCTTGGTTTGAGGCCACCGGCCATGTTTTGAGGCTATCGGCCATTGGTGAATTATACCATTGGCCGGCCAGCACTCAATATGGCCGGCCGGCCATCTGTTTGGCCGGTGACATCCTTTTCTGGCTGGTAGCACCTTTTTACCATTTTTAGGCCTGGTACATGCCAGCTGTGCCAGCTGGAATGCACCAAACCTGCCCCGGGGCATACATGTGGCTATTTCGGCCTTTTTGCACCCTTTTGGTCAAAGCTTCTTGAGAAAGCTTGACCCTTTGTCAAGCTTTCTCAAGAAGCTTGCCAGCTGTTCTAGCTTCCTTAGGAAGCCTTGCACCCTTAGCTTGGCTTCTCTTGTAAGCCTTGACCCTTTTGAGTAGCTTCCCTTAGAAGCTTTGGCCAATTAGCTTGCCTATATAAGAGCCCCTCCTCATTCTTTGTTTGGTTCAGCCAAAAACCAGAGCTATACACATATATCTGATATATATCATCCCCTCTCTCTATATCTCCCTCTCTCTCTTCATTTTGTGTGTGTTTGAGGGCCTAAAGTGTGTGTTTGTTCTTAGTTTTGCACTAAAACACGTAGTATTACACCTTACTTCGAATTTGAGAGGCTTTGGGGGTTTGTTCTTGAGGTTTTGGAGTGGTTTTGATCAAAAGAAGAAGGCTGCACTTGCTGTTCATCAAGGGTTCTTCAAGGGTAACTCTTTTACTTTAGATTCCCCAATCTTGCACTAGACTTTTGCCTATCTTGCTCATTGTTTTAGACTTTGTGTATAACTGAAAAAAGTCTTGTATTTGCATGCTTAAGATATCTCATTAAGGTTGTTTTGGCATTGGGAGTCGACCTCCCCCTCTTAGGCCTTGTTTGGCCCCTTTTTGTGCTTAATTTATTAAGTTTTGATTTCTTTGGTGTATTAGCCTTCTCACCACTGAAATCCAATGGATTTTCAGTGGTGAAGAAGTGGGTTTGAGGCCTTGCATAGGGGAGGGACACCCCTCTCCCTTGGTCTCTCTTTTGCCCTCATTTTTGGCTCATAAGGGTAGTATGTATGCTTGGTTGTATTTGGCCCCCATTTCAGATGTTTTGGATGTTATTTCGTCACTTATTGCCTCTATTTTTGGTCAGGTTTGTGGTCTCTTCCATGCATAGTATACTTGCCTTACATTCCTCCATTTTGCCTAGAAGTAAGCCATGCATTTATGCCATGATTCTTGCATGTTCTAGCTTAACTCCATGAAGGTATTAGCACTATTTTGCCATGCTCAAGGACTGTTAGGGGCTTTTTTAGTCATATTTTCCATGTTTAGGGTAGCCTCTTTGCATTTTGGCTTGTGAGCCCAAAGTGTGTGAGTCATAAACATGCCCTAGTTGGCCTATTTCAATGAGTTGGAGTCATTTCCATGCAAAAAATCAAATTGATTGGAAATCTATAACTCTATAACAACTGAACATGTTTTTTTGGAGATAATGGCTGATGTTGATAATTTTTGAGGACCAAAGGATTCACTGGACACTTTGGAAGTGGAGGGGACTCATCCACAAGTGGACATTCTTCATGGTAAAGTATGTTAACTTTAATATAACAAATTTTATAAAAGAATATATGTTTGAAGAACTAGAAAGTAATGGAAACATGCATGGGACGTCCAATTTGTATAGGTGCATGAGATGTATAAATTGTGAATTAGTCTAAAAAATATTTCTTTTTCTCTATATTTAAAGCTTCAAAAAAGGCC